TAATAGATAAATTATATGTGATAATTGTATATGTTAAAAACTACATAGTGATTAAACAGAAAACATGAAGCCAAACATATTTTGTAAACATTTTGTTTACAAAATTTCGAAAGTATCAAATTATTGTTAATATCATAGGCATAACTTAAAACATGAAACAAAACATTGTGTATATCGAGAAAAACCATAGGTTATAAGCTATACTTTGGAAAGTAACATTTGAAATATAAAGAGGACAATATTTTTAGGAACATCATATTTTATATACACGCGAAACCAATAAAAAAAATTATTTAACAACTTCAAACAAGGCTGCTTCTGTACTTATATTTATCCGATGGAACAATTGAAACAGCTAGGAATAATTTGCTGTATATTACTGCCAACTCTCTCTCTCTCTCTCTCTCTCTCTCTCTCTCTCTCTCTCTCTCTCTGTGTGCTACATCATTCTCGCGTTATATTGTAGTAATGTTGAATAGTTGATAAAAATAATTATGAATTATACTTGTCAAATTATTATGAAATGGCAAGCGCTGTGAGCGGTTCTACGTACCTTAGAGACGACACGAAATTTTAATTAAATCAAATCTTCCTAATCACGATATAATGTTACAGGAACAAGTAATCAGCTGACGAGTCGTCTGAAGTCGTCGACGTCGACTGCCAATGACACTTGACACACGACCCCACTCCACATGTCGACTATACCGACGGTACCAACGATACTGACGACAACTGACGACGATTGTCGAAACACTAGTGAACTTGGAAAACAAAATTACGATCGTGTGAATGGTATGCTGTGATTTACCGATTCGTATCGTGCAAAATGTGTTTCGACATGTTTTGTTTATGTGACTCCAGATCGCGTTTCATTCGAGAGAGTCCCAATCTCAATTCTTTTTTAGCTCAGACGTAAATCGTAAAGGTTAAATGACATCTGCTATTTTTTATAATATATTTTCAATGCGCCGTTTAACAATAATTGAAATAAGTGAGAGTGAAATAATTCAAGCAATGTTCAAAATTTTATGAATTGTTTCAATTCAGAAATATTTATTTTTTTACTGTAAAAATTTCATTAATTCCATCGAACTTTATGTGATCTGTCATCTTGTGATGGATCACAGGTTGGATTCTAATTAATATATAACTTAGCTTTTATTAGTAATTTACTTAAATGACAACAAAGCATTAATAAAATATAAAAAGTTATATTGTATAAAGTTGAAAAATAACATTAATAAATAAAAATAATCATTAAAACTTTTATCAATGTTTTGAACATGTTTTAGGAAGATGTAGGAAGTTACTACAGCAATTATATAATATAATGGATCATCATGGCTGTTTTTAAATCAAGACAAACTACCTGTTTATTAGAAGCAATTCGATTAGCCAGATAACGCAGAGCTTCTTTAAATTATACGAAACATATAAATAATGTCCTTCAGAATACGTTTAGCTCGCAGCAGGCCAATTAGATTTTTGGGGAATGTGGCCATGAAGTGTTGGGCTTTTAGTGGAGCATACATTCTCTTATGCTTTTTTTTATATTGGTTATATGGCGGCATTTTGGCTTTTGTCTTACTGTGTTTTGCCATAACTGGTTCGTATATATATACATACATATGTATATATTTTTTTTATTACAAAAGATTTTATTTTCTATAATAATGTTATTATTATTATAAATTTAGAAATTTTATAATTTATATTATAATTTTAATTTAAAGGTTATAAAGACCGATATTTTTTATTATTACAGGAATACTCTATCACAGAGAAGATCAACTTCTTTATCATCCGGAACTGCCAGCCCATTCAAGAGTCTATGTACCAGCTCCTTCAATATTTAGTTTACCTTATCAAAGTATATATACCAGAGCTGGAGATGGCACAATCCTGCACATGTTTTTTGTTTCTCAACCAGAAGACAGAATGAGGAAAGCACCTACATTATTGTTTTTTCATGGCAATGCTGGCAATATGGGTCATCGGTATATTCATTATTTCACTGTATATATAATTATATATAAACACTTAATATCTATATATATTATCTATAATTTATTTATAATTAGTGTGTTCTGTTGTTTGTTACAAAGAAAAAATTAGATTATTATAACAATAATGATTAACTGAAAAGCATTTTTACAAATTTCTCTAATTAAAATATTGTAAATTATTAAAAATATTTTATTAATTATATCCATAAAGTTTCTATATTGCTTGAAAAAGAACAAAGGATGAATTATATATAAAGTGAGTTACGTTTATGTAATAACAAATTATATCGTAATAAATATTATGCATATATTTATGTTTCAGATTGCAAAATATAGTAGGACTGTATCATAATATTCAATGTAACATTCTAATGTTAGAATATCGAGGATATGGCTTGTCGCAGGGTACTCCATCGGAGGAAGGACTCTATATGGATGCCCGAGCGGGAATAGATTATCTATTTAGCAGAACGGATATTAATACCAATGAAATCATAATATTTGGTAGATCACTAGGTAAAGAGAATCTAATCTTATTATTTGGAATTTTTATTTATTTTCTAATATTTTTTAATCTTAGGTTTTATTATATTAAGCTCTAAGATTTTAGTTAATCTTCTTACTAATTATCAGTATTTGTGTGCGATAATTAAATTTGATTAAATTGTAATTTAATAGGTGGAGCAGTAGCCATTGATTTAGCCACAAAAGAGGAAAATTTACAGAGAATTTGGTGCCTTATACTTGAAAATACCTTCACTAGTATCCCGGATATGGCCGCCTTATTTGTAGGATCTAAATTTTTACAGTATCTGCCACTTTTTGTATATAAAAACAAGGTAATAAATAGGAAAGATTTATAAATTTTTAATTACTTTATGCGATTGTGTGTGTTCTGATTCGCTCTTTACAAGTTTAAAGGTTTTACAAAAGAAGATGTAATGTCTTATATTAAAAGGTATCATATAATTAGCACAAGTCTTCGTACATTTTTTATCCTCCATATTATGTATTAATTTATTATATTTCGTAATCTCTACAATCTCAGTAATCTCGCTTCTCTATTCTTACATTTATTTATATTTTCATATATTTTTATATTTTTTTACATGATTCCTCATATTTTCATATTTTTTTGTTGCAGTATTTGTCTATTCTGAAAGTTCGTTCAGTGACAGTGCCCACTCTGTTTATTTCCGGTCTGGCGGATACATTGGTACCACCCCGCATGATGCAAGATCTTTATAAGAATTGTCGAAGCACATATAAGCGTATACTTCCGATTGTGGACGGCACACATAATGAAACCTGGTGTCAGCCGAGTTATTATCAAAATATTAACGCCTTTCTGACCGAGCTCAGGGAAAATCCACCTCCAAGAGTAACGTCTAGTCATTGGCAAATTGATAATATTTAGTGTAAAAACACTTTTATTATTGCATCTATTTATTAATATAATAAACGTAATTTTTGCGTTTTAAAGGCATAAAAGAATCAACTTTATCGAATTGTACTTTTTCTACCTTTTGTAGAAATTGTTCTCAAGCTTTGCAGAAGTAGAGAAGTTGATCTTATGACTCTCAAATGTGACTTTAATAATAATTAATCATATGTCCAAATTAAATCATAATTAAATAAATTAAATAAATATTTCAAGTTATAAATCAATAGTTTAAGTAACATAATTAATTATTTGAACTTAATTAGCTTAAGTTAATGTAAGTTGATTTAATGTCTTAACTTATTAATTTATTCAAATATTTTCTGATTATTTTAATTAAATTAAAATAATTAGAAAAAGAGTGAAAGAGAGAAAGAGAATTAATCAATGGAACATAGTTATATTAAATATTTCAAAAAACTCTCTATAATACAAGAATATTTGAATTAAAAACCTTTAAAATTTGAAAAGTAAAAATTCTTAAAACCTACAATTTAAAAGTGTGTGACGAGAATATTAAAAAACATAAGTTTATTTACTAGAGTAAGTTGAACTTAATTGTGACTACCAAAGTATGCTTGAGCCTGCGAAAATAAAATTTTTAATATATTTCTTCCTATAAATCAATATTATGGATTTTATTATATACTATATTATTACTGACCGTTCCTATTACAATGAGTACTATAAGAAAAAAATTAGAAAATTATAAATTATGACGACTAATCTGTGCAATTTTTGCAAGAATTACATAGATTACATATTATGTAAGTTATGCTAAAAATATAATAAAAAATATCTTTTATATTTTTTTCCAATAATAATCTTCATGTTTTTATAAGAATAAAAAATTTTAATGTCTACGATTGATTCGTCTTCTTTTTGCATTCATTCTTCGAATCAACAGCATGCCGATTATCATTAGGATTCCAAGCAGAGCAGTCAATATGGCCAGAACAGTAATCATTCCAGAACCAGGTTTGAATGTTACAACCTCTTTACTAGAAATACTTGCAATGTTAATGGTCATTCTTTCTGCAAAATGTGAAAACTTGTCGCAAAAGACTTCTTCCTTCCATTTATACCAATGAATCATTCTTTTGTTGGCTAATGCAGGTGGCTCAGCACATCTAAGTAATAACAAAATGTGAAAAATAACATACATTAATGAATGCTATTTAATTCATTTACGAATGATGTGAGTTTTGCGATAAAAAATAGAAACAGATGGAGGGACAATTTCAAGATATAAAAATATTACTTTGTATGTATACAATATGATTTTGTTACGAATAGTAAATCAAATTAATTGTTAACTTAATAATATTAATTTAATATATTGGAAAAAAAAATTAGTTATCATTAAATCCTTAATATATTTAAAATAGATTCTAAAATATTGTATTTCATAATTTTAACTTATATAAAATTAACTCAAATCTTCTAAAAGATTGGGATCCGTTATATAAAGTTTCGGAACTAATTCGTTCAACATCCATTGCGATGAGCAATTACAAATAAATGGATTTCCTTGCAGATTAATAAGATATTTTAAATTTGAAACATTTTTATTGTAAACATTTATATTAAATAATTTTGATGGTAAATGAGTAAAACAATTATTGCTCAAATCTAGCTGAAAATGAAAAAAATTTTGTAATAAACATGTTTTTTTAAAAAATATATTTTTATATAAAAAACTTTTGTGTAAAATACTAACAGAGCAAATATTCATATGTCGAAAAACATTTTCCTCAATCATATTCAACTTTTTATTACTCGAAATAGTTATATTGATACAACTATTTTTCTTCTCCTTTAACATTAAAAATGTTTCTTGATCAATTTTTTCAAACGTTTCCACAAATTTTACTTCAAATATTTCCAAATTTAATTCAGATCGAATTTTTATATCTTTTAAATGATTCCCACTGACTTTAAAAGTTTTTAAATTTGGAAAATTTTTAATAGAAATAGTTTCAGGTATTATTGTTAAATTATTGAAGGATACATCTAATGTCTCTAAATTTTTCAAAAAAACTTCTGGAAAGTCTGATAAAGAATTTCCACTAATATTTAATTTTTTTAATTCTTCCAATAAGGTCAAATTATTACATGCGTTAGAAATGCTATTATTTTGAATGTTTAAGGTATGAATTAATGATTTTTGAAATGATATAATATTGATAAGATTGTTTTCCGTGTAAAGTTCCAACAATGACAACGGAAGATTTTGGAAATTTAGGGAGAGAAGCTGGTTATTGTTTACGCTAAGAATCTTCAAATGTTGCATATAAAGTAAAGAATTGACTGGGAGAGTAGTAAATTTATTGAAGGAGAGATTTAAATATTCCAACTCCGGCATAACATCGAGGAAATTCTGTAAAATATTATTATAAAGTAAATATTAAAATATTAAAGTAAATGAATTTAATAAAAGTAATGTTAATATATAACAATAACTACATATAATTTTAATTA